GGGGGGCCTTCCCGAGGGGCCAGCCGCATCTTCTGAGGTCCTTCAGTGGCTCTCTGGCTATATCGTACGCTGGGCGGCCTGTTCTTCCTCCCCCGCCTGGCGCGAGGGCGCACGCCGCTCCGGGAAGTACCTCCGCTCGGCATCGTGCGCTTCAGCCCGGAGTCCTCCGCTCAGCCTGCTTTGGGGGAGCAGGCCCTGGAACAGCCCTGCGGCCTGCCTCCTTCCCCCCCACCTCGAGCACTGCTTGTCTGTCCCCTCCCGTGGGGACCACCAGTGGGCTACTTACCTCAGAGAAACTGTGTGCTCCCCTCTCTGCCTTCTGCTGCCCACCCTCCGGAATGAGCTGTGGAGAAGGACTTGGGAAGGCTCTGCCCTGGATCTCCTCAGTCGGATAATCGCGGAGACCCAGGGTGCCGGCGTGGACCAGCGGATGCGGGGGGGGCGCACGTGCACGCACCGTGGAATGCTGGGCCGAGAGCCCTCCGGTTGTGGTGAAGGGCAGGGGTCGGGGGCTCGTGCGTTCCCCATCTCGACTCCATCACCTCGTGTCTGGTTCAGGTACCTCAGCGCTGCCTCCTGGCTGGCGCCCGGTACGCGCTGGGCCTGCAGCCCCAGAGGCGACGCTTGTGACCCCTCTCCTCAGAGATGCTAAATAGATGAACTCCCCCTCCCCTTGCCCCAGGGGCTCACTCCAGATGTGGGAGGCCTGCGCTGTCCCTGTGCAGAGGCAAAGGGGGGCCCTCGGCGCCAGCCCCGACCTCCCCGGGACTATGAAAAGGCGTCTCACCCTGTGTTGTTCTTCCTAGGCATACCAACCCCATTGTAGAGAACGGCCAGACTCATCCGTGCCAAAAAGTCATCCAGGAGGTAAGTGAGCAGCGGCTGGCCCCCTCTGTGCGCGTCTAGCCAGGAGGCGGGGCGTCCTGAGCACTAGTGAGCTGGCGCGAGCCCCCCGTCCCATCCCTGCTGCCTCCTCCCTGGAATCTGAGCAGAGAGGCTGGAGAGAGCTGCCACGGGCAGGAAGTTGGGCCCAAGAACCAATGGGCTTGTATCCTAGTCACTTGGCCCCTCTGCTTGGCCAAGAGAGGGGTGAAGGCAAACGGGGAGCAAAGCTTCCCAGCCCCGTCTTCACCGAGTGCTTTGAGATCCTTGGCTGACCCGCTCTGAGCGCGCCACCGTCACTGCAGCCGCAGGACGGGTTCCCTCCGGGCGGTGCCCGTCCCAGGGCCCCGGAGTTGGGGGCGTGCCTGAGGGGCACTTCTGGCCCATAGTTTGGGGCTTACAGGGATGCAGAGCAGGGTTCCCTGGAAGCTGAGCGCTTGTGCAGCTGCTCAGGAGAGCGTTAAATGCCGCCCCGCTGATCAGCCGAGCGCCCACAGCTAAGTTCTGTGTTTGTATCGGTGGTGCACATTCACACATGCCTCGGTGTACGTAAAACATTATTCCGCACATGCATGGGGGAAAACCGGCCCGTGGATGGAAGAGACTCGAGGGATCGTAGACCGTATTTGTGGGGTCCCTCGTGAATACCTGGACCCCTCCCCATTGTCCTTGCTCAGATCTGGCCAGTCCTGTCGGAGACCCTGAACAAACATCGTGCCGGGTGCACATTCACACATGCCTCGGTGTACGTAAAACATTATTCCGCACATGCATGGGGGAAAACCGGCCCGTGGATGGAAGAGACTCGAGGGATCGTAGACCGTATTTGTGGGGTCCCTCGTGAATACCTGGACCCCTCCCCATTGTCCTTGCTCAGATCTGGCCAGTCCTGTCGGAGACCCTGAACAAACATCGTGCCGATAACCGCATCGTGGAGCGCTGCTGCCGGTGCCTGCGGCCGTCCAAAGGACGTGGGGGGCGGGGGGGACACTGCCATCGCCCCATGTCCGGGCGACGGAACGGGCGCCTCAGCCTAGGATAAGGCGCCGGCGCCGCTCGTGGCTAGTGCTTTATGGACGCCGGCAACGGGCGCAAGAGAAGAGGAAGCTGGGCTGGCTTCAGGCCTACCCCTGCCGCCATGGAAACCCGGCCCGCCTTT